TGGGGTTTGGTTGCCTGACCTTGGGGAAGACTCCACCCCTTCTGGCTCTGGGGTCTCCCAGAAAACTGCAGGGGTCAGGCTGAGTGGTCCCTAAACCCTTACCAGAGCCTTTCTTTGTCCCCATCTTGGAAGCCTTATCTCACCCTGCTTTGCTGTCACTTCTGAGGGCTTCAGTCCCTCCACCAAGCTGCGAGGGCAGGAGCCACATGTGGCTCATCCAGGAAGCCCCAGCTGGCTGACACAGAAGAGGCCTGGAGCATGCGCTGGAAAGGCAGAGTGGGGCAGACTGAGGTGGGCGCCCACCCCTGCCTGTTGGGTCGACCCTGGGCATGGCATTCCACTGCCTGAGCCGCAGCGTCCTCAGCTGCTGAGTGGACAACCCCAGGCAGGTCAGGATGTGAGCCTGGGCCCACATACTCAGTCTGTAGGAAATGTCACTTTATTTTTCTAACATTGGGCAGAATTCGTAATTTGAACTCATTCTGCCCTGTGACAGAGAACACCTCAAGCCCATGGAGAGTCCCAGTGCTCTTCGTGGGGCTGCGTCCCTGGCCAGCAGGCTCACGTGGTGGGGAGGCACACAGAAAGCACCCTGGTCTCCAGATACCACCTGGTGCTGACCGGGGAGGCTGAAAACCCGGTATCACCCATCATGCCTGTGTGAGCACCCTCAGTGAGATGGGCAATGTTTTCCTCCCTCTCGCATGAAAGACTCCATGGTAGGCATTCCTCGGTCTCCATGGCCGCACATGTTGTCCACATATAAGGTCCCACTGCCACCTCAATCTGCCATGACTCCAGCTAACAAGTCTACAGTCCATCCTGTGGAAGGGAGAGAGAATACAGCAGGATACTCCCATTCACATCCCATTGGCCAGACTAGTGCATGTGACTACATGTTGCTGCAAAGGAGTATGGGAAATGTAGTCTTTTCTTAGAAGACGTAAAGTCCACTAAATATCAGGGCTCCACTATGGAGGATGAAGTGGAAAATGGACACGGGTACTTCCAGCCCGGTGCTCAGGGCCATGGGTCTCCACTGCTGTCAGAACCCCCTCCCACGTCTCCAGAATTTGCCGGCTTCCCTGCCCAAGGCCTCATGTTGGGGATAAAGCAGAGTCCTGGGGAGGGGAGCTGGACATCGACCCCCACCCCAGGGCACAGTGGAGGTGAACCCCGTCTTTGCTCTCACTGTGAGCTGTTTCGGATCTGCCTCAAGTCGGCAGTAGCATCCTGAGCATGTGTGTGCCCACCAGCCATCAGATCTTGCCCTTGTAATATTTACTTTAGATTTTAAGAAAGTAAGCATTAGAGATAGAAGTCTTCCCCGGTCCCTCACCCACCCTGTGGCCCCGGCGAGTCCACCATCCAGAGTCCAGTGTGTGCGATCCTTACATGGCCTTTCCTCTTAATACACACGCGTGTGTCATAAGTGTTGCAAGCTGTGATTCTGCAGGCTTATGAAATTGATGCAAATGGCTCATAGTGTACCTCTGATTCATTGTGTATCTCGCCTTTTCCGCTCAGCATGAGTCTGGGATGTATCCACAATGACAACTGTAACTCTGCCTATGTCATTTATCACGGCTGTGGCATGTGACTAAATCACAATGTATTTGTTTATCCATTTCTATCTATATCAGAGGCAGAGCGAGACAGACATACATAGACTCAGAATCAGAAAGACAAGCAGAGAGCTCCCATCTACTGGTTCACTCCCCTAATGCCCGTGGTGGTCAGGGTGGGACAGGCTGGGGTCAAAGCCAGGTCTCCCACGTGGGTGGCAGGAACCCAGTGACTTCAGCCATCAGCGCCGTCTCCCAGGGTCTGCTCTGAGGGGTAGCTGGAGTCAGGAGACAGAGCCAGGCATGAAATTCAAACCTTTCAGTATGGGACACGGACATCTTAATGAGCGTCTTAACTGTTAGACTAAGTGCCTGTCCCGTGTACTTGTCTCTCCTTTTGCGAGGTTAGCTTTATGCAGCTGTTTGTTGTTGGGTAGTGCTGCAGTAAGCAGCCCATGTACAGGAGTTTCTCTAAGCCAGTGACCCTCAAAGTGTCCCTGGACCAGCAGCATCAGCGTCCCCTGAGAGCCGGTTAGATATGCAGATTCTCGGGCCCCAGAGCCATGAGGTGGAGCCCAGGGGTGTGCACTGTGCTGAGCCCCGGGGGCTGCCGATGTGCGCTAGAGCTGGAGAACTGCTGTTCTGAGGTCAATACCAGAAGCCAGACTGCTGTTTAGAAAAGACACCCCCTCGAATTTTCTAGATTCTGCTAGGTTGTTCTCCAAAGTGTACATTCATCAGAAGTGAGTGCCTCCTCACGCCTTTCGCCCTTTGGCATGGCAGGAATCTGGGCGGGAAGTCTGGGCCCTGTTCCGTCCTCTGTCACTGCTCTCTCCACCCTGGGACCCCCTCCTCCGCCAGCACGCCTCCTCCTTGCCCTCCAGCCCCTGCCGCTGTAGCACTTTGCAAGAACAGAAGCCTTTCCCCTCGCTCCTGCTGCCGAGAATCCAGGCCACAGCCGCCCTGGCTCACCACGTCGGGGCAGGCTCCCAGGACACGTGGTAGCTGCTGCAGGCCTCCACGTGGGCCTGCCTGGAGCGGAGCCTCCTCCAAGGTCTACGACAAGAGGGGACAGGGGCTCCCAGAATCCAGGTTAAGGGAAGTGACAGCAGGGGGACAGAAAGGCCCCGGCCAGGGCTGGGCAAGCCTGCCCCGCCTCCCCCACCACCTCTGTGTGTCTGTGTGCCGTGCCCAGGGCTTGCAGAAGGGATGGGCCTCCTTGGCTCCTGTTCCAGGGGGAAAGGCCAGGAGCTCACACAATGGAGACTTCCTTTCCTAGGGCGACGGGGCCCCGGTTGGAACAGGGGAGCCACGGGCGTCACCAGCTCACTGCACTCTGACCCCATGAGGGTTGGAGCAGGAAACAGTTTCCCTTACTCAGCTGCTGTCTCTGGGAAGCTACCCTGCACTTGCCCACCACTTAGTGACTCCTGGTCGTGTCCTCTGTTGTTTTCTTTTAATATTTATTTATTTAAAAGGCAGAGTGGTAGAGAGAGGGAGAGACCGAGAGAGACAGAGCAGGAGGCGGATCTTCCATCCAGTGGTTCACTCCCCAGATGCCTGCAACAGCTGGGGCTGGGCCAGGTGGACGCCAACAGCCAGGAACTCCTTCCTGGTCTCCCACGTGAGTGGCAGGGTCACAAGCACTTTGGCCATCGTCTGCTCCTCCCCAGGCACACTAGCGGGGAGCTGGATCAGAAGCAAGGGTAATTAGGACACGAACTGGCGCTCCGATGTGGGAGACCGGCATCCCGAGTGGCAGCTTAACCCGCTTTGCCACAGCGCCCACGCCCACCCCTGGCCACTTGCTGACTCTCCCCACCTCCCACCTAGAGTGGTCTGCCCTGCTGCCGCCTCCTGCCAGGACACCTGCCAACGACCAGCCTTTCCGTGGGCAAAGGCAGCAGCAATACCACCTGGACTCAGCTCCTCCTACCAGCACTGCGGCCCCGAGAGCGCCCTCGTGTCGCCATGCCGAGACGGGGGCTCTTGGGCGCGGTCTCCCCTCCTGGCCTTGCCTGCTTGCTCCTGCTGTCCTTCCTTCCTCTGTTTGGAGAGATGTGGGAAGCCGACAGCTGTGCAGGGGCACAAGTTCACGTCCAGACTGAGCCAGAGTGCTGGCGCCATCCTGTAGGCACCCCCATCTTTGGGAGGGGTGGGGGTCCCCTGACATGGCCTCAGTTGGCTGGGACAGGTAGGGAAGGGGAAAAAGCCACAGCCCCGTTTCCTGCACCCCTGGCTGACCAGTCCTGACCCCTCGAGTCCCTCCTCCACCCCCTGGACTTGAGCAGGGACCCTGAGGTCAGGGCTGGGGAGAAGCCGGGGGCCTTGGGGAGAAGCCGGGGGCCTTGCTCAGACTCTGCGGCGTGGTCTGCCTCTTTCTCCCCAGCTCTGGGTTCTGCTTCTCAGCTCGGGGAGAGCAGGAAGTTCCTCCTCTCAGCTGAAGTCTCATGGTGATGGGAGCCCTCGACAAAGGTGACAGCGAGGGGTGGAGAGAGCCTGGAAACCCAGCAGGAGGGCCAGGGTCTCGCCCTCCCCCTACTGCAAGGGCACCCCACACATGCCCAAAAACACACACTGCTTTGGTAAAGATGAAGTTTGCCTGTGAGTGATAGAAAGCTCCAAAGAACAGTGATTCAAGTACAATAGACCTCGATGTCTGGCACGTGTCAACAGTCCACACAGCAGGCCTGCCTTCCGCAGGGACCCAGGTTCTTCTTAGTCCTATTATTCCACCATCCCAGGACATGGTTTCTGCTTCATGATAAAAAAAATGACTGCTTCTGCTCCAACCATCATATTCACGTTCCACCCAAAAGAAAAGATGGGAGGTCGGGTGGCCATGTGACACCACAGTGTCCCCTGCATCCTGTGTCAGTGCTTGGGTCCAAGTCCCTGCTGTGCTCTAGATTCCAGCTTCCTGCTAATGTCCACCCTGGGAGGCAGCAGGTGATGGCTCGAGTAGTTGGGTCCCTGCCACTCATGTGAGATCTGGATTGAGCTCGTGGTTCCAGCTTTGACATGACCCAGCCCCTGTTATTGCAAGAAGTGAACAGTGAATCAGTGAATGAGAGCTTGCTCTCTCCCGCCCCGCCCTGCCCTCTCCTTCATATATATATATATATATATATATAGAGAGAGAGAGAGAGAGAGAGAGAAAGAGGATATATATATATATATGTATTCATATATATATGAGGATGACAAAGGGCATACTCCTAGCCTTTAAGGAAACTTCTAGAAGTTGGACATGCTGCTTTGCATCCATTGGTCAGATTTCAGTCACATGACTACCTAGGTGCAAGGGAAGCTGGGAAATGTAGTCTTTCTTGGGTGGTCATGTGCCCAGTTACTATCCCCACGAGACAGTGCAGCTGCTCACACACATGTTGACCGTTTCTCTCTCCCTTCCCTGCACCCTGCTCTGGCTGGCAGTGGACACTGGCCTCGGGGGCAACTGCACGGGCTGCATCGCCTGCTCCGAGGTGAACGGCTGCTCCAGCTGCCAGCACAGGCTCTTCCTGTTCATCAGCCGGGAGGGAATGCGCCAGTACGGCAAGTGCCTGCACGACTGCCCGCCCGGCTTCTTCGGCGTCCGCGGCCAGGACTTGAACCAGTGCAGAAGTACGTGGCTCCCCCTTGTCCCGTGCTGGCCTGGACTCCCGGGCTCGGCCGGCCCACAGCCCACCCTCTCCCCCAGCGCAGCCAGAAAGGAAGCGGGTGTGTGCCTGAGCCAGGACTCTCATATCCACTTGGTCCCAGGGTGGCCGCGCAGCCCTGGGCCAGGAACCTGCACCTTGGCCACAGTCTACTGTGCAGCCGGGACCATGTTACTCACCTTCTCTGGGCTTGGGCCAGATGGGAAAGGAGTCCCAACTCCACCTCTATTTTCACTGTCACCTGGGACGAATCATGCTGTCTCTGAGCCCTGGTGGAAAAGGAGCAGGAAGTCCTCACTCCCAGCCCAAATTTGCTATGTGACTTCAGGCAGGTCACTTGCTCTCTCTGAGCCTCAACTCCTATCCAAAAGGGAGTTCTCTGCATATGCAGCCCAGTTTGGTGTTGACGGAGGCCTGAACCCAATGCTACAGAGCCGGGGACTGCTCAGAGCTCAGCCCCACCCCCCTGCCACCTCAGTACCCCCTCCCTGGCAGGTGCCTCAGCTGGGCTGTTACTGGCTCTGTTACAGAATGTCGAAACACGTGCGAGAGATGCTTTAGCCGAGACTTCTGCATCCGGTGCAAAAAGAATTTTTACCTGCACAAGGGGAAGTGCCTGTCCACCTGCCCGCCTGGCACCCTGACCCAGCAGAGCTCACGGGAGTGCAAGGGTGAGTGGGGGCCTCCTCGCCCTCCTGGCGAGAGGTGGGAGACCTGGAAGAACTCTTGGTAGAACGTCACGGGGGGATGGGCGGCCCAGGCCCCGCACACCAGGTACAGCAGGCGCCTGCACAGAGCAGCCTTCAGTGTGCCGCAGCCAGCACAGTCCCAGAATGGTGATCCCTGTCACCAACGATGCTGGCGTCATTGTCATGGCCAAGGGAGGCAGCAGGGCGCACAGAGCCCTGGCCGGGAGTGAGGCACTCCCAGGACCCAGTCCCCGCTCTAGAACTCACCCACGTGTGACCCTCAGCGAGTCACTCACCCTCTCTGTGCCTCAGTTTCTCCAAGTGCGCACAAGGTTACGGGGCAGGCGTTTGGCCGGGTGCTTAAGCTGCCACTTGGGATGCGCTTCTCCCTACTCGAGTGCCTGAGCTTGAGACCGGCTCTCCCAGTCCCAGCTTCCTGCTAATGTCACCCTGGGAGGCAGCAGGGGACGGCTCGAGTACTCAGTCCCTGTCACCCACGCGGGGGACCTGCATGGAGTTCCAGGCTCCTGGTTTCAGCCTGGCCCAGACTTGGCTGTTGCAGGTGTTTGGGGAGTGACCCGGCGGAAGGAAGTCCTCTCTGTATCTCTGTGTCTCTGTCTCTTCCTCTCTCTCAAATTAAAAAATAATAATAATAAATCAGAAACAAGTTACAATAGAACACAAGACTCCCTTATCTCATGGGGAGACGTTATTATGAGGATTAAATGAATTGCTGCAATTTGAAGTGCTTAACTCAGCCCCTGGCGCTGTAGATGCTCGGACGCGGCCACTGGCACTCTGTCTGCTCGGCGCTTCCAGCTGCCCCTGTCTGAGGTCCTCCTCCACAGTCTGGCCCTGGCTGCTCCTTGGCCTGCTCACCTGAGCCACGGTCTCGGCCATGTTCCCTCTGGGCACCCAGACACAGGCACCCGGCTGACTCGCTGTCTCCAGCCCCAGCACGCCGCCGCTGCCGCCGCCACCCCAGCCCCAACCCCAGCCCTAGCCCTGTGCTTCCTCGCTTCCTCGCAGCTTCCTGAGGAGGCCAGAGGAGCAGGCATCCCTGTCCTTTGTATGCAACCGGGTCCGTTCCTCCATTCAGCCACAAGCACTTGCGAGAGCGGCTGCCCTGCGGTGCGGGGCAGTGAACAAAGTCCCTATCTCTCGCTGACGGACAGCGCAGTGGGAGGCGGAGGAGACAGAGAGTAGATCTGTAGTGCATCCTCCGACCACAGGGCCAAAATGAAGCCGCACTCCCCCCCCCCTCCCCCCGCACCCCCCCATCCCCACCCACCCACCCCCGGTCACTAGAAGTGCAGCCGCCACCTCCTGCCCCTCTCCCTGGCTCGCGTTTCAGCCTCTGCAGCCCAGGCCTCCCTGCAGCCAGGGGGATCATTTCCAGGTGACAGTGGGCTCTGCTTTCTCTGTTGTTCAGGGCCCTTCTGTGGCCGCTGTGGCTCCCGTTGCCCACTCAGGCAGAGCCCGCCCAGGTCCTGGCCCCCACCTGCCGGTCCCTCCACCCCACTATTCGTGTCTTCCTGTGTGAGTTCAGGCTCCAGCCTGCTCAGCTCTGAGAGTCCTGGGAACTCTGCTGGAGTTATTTTATGTCTTCCACCTGGAGCACCTCCTGCGCCTCCTTGAGCCTGGCTAACGCCCCTCGCTCGCCCCTCCCCCCACTTCAAGGTTCACTTCAGGAGTCCCCTCCTCCAGGAAGCCTTCCCGGTCACCCCGGCTGCGGCCTGTGCCTTCTCTGGGCTCCCACGACTGCCTGTGCTTGCCCCAATACCGCATGGAGCACTCTGCCCACCCCCTTCAGCCTAACACCTCCAGGGGATACCCCTGGAGCAGGCCTGGCACACAGTAGGTGCTCAGCCTTGACCTGCAGATGAGTGCACCCAGACCCCCCCACGGCCTGGAGACTTCCATCCTGGGCCTCTGCATCTTGAACTTGCTGTGTACACTGTGCGAGCCCCTTCCTGTGTTCCCTTAGCAAATCTCTCAGCGGCTGCAGGCCTCAGTGTCCTGATCTGCGACAGGGGGGTGTTCACAGCTACCTCTATTCCACTATTAAAGGGTCAAATATGAAAAAAAAAAAGGTATATACACATGGTCTTGTTAAAGTTCATGGAAATGCATTATTATGAAAAAACTATGCATGTATTTCTTTTTTTTTTTTTTTTTTGCACCAAAATAAACGCATCCTTTCATTCCATTCTCCATGAACATTTTGAAGTTGTAGGTTCTAAAATGACCCGATGCTGGGGCTAGCATGTGGTGCCACCTCTGTGGTTTGGGTCCTGGCTGCTCTGTTTCCATCCAGCTCCCTGCTGCTGCACCTGGGAAGGCAGCAGAAACTGGCCTAAGTCCTTGGGGCCCTGACACCCATGTGGGAGACCGGGGTGGAGGTCCCAGCTCCTGGCTTCAACCTGGCCCAAACCCATCTGGCCATTTGGGGAGTGAACCAGCAGATGGAAGATTCTCTCTCTCTCTCTCTCTCTCTCTCTCTCTCTCTCTCTCTCACACACACACACACACACAGGCTTCAAATAAATCTTTTTAAAAAATTTTAAAAAACGATTCCATAAGGAATTTTTATTTTACCTTTATTTTTAATTTTATTTAGTTGTTTGAGAAGCAGAGAGACAATTAGAGAGATCTACCATCCACTGGTTCCCTCCCCAAATGCCCACAACAGCCAGGACTGGCTCAGGCCAAAGCCAGGTACCTGGGACTCAATCCGGGTCTCTCCCATGGATGGCGGGAACCCAGTTACCGGAGCTGTCAGTGCTGCCTCCCAGGGTCTGTGTTAGCAGGAAGCCAGGGCCGGGGGCTGGGTACCGAAGCCTGGCGCTGCCGTATGTTACGCAGGCGTCCTGACTGCGGCCCACATGCCCCAGCCTGCTAGGAACTTCTCTGAGCAGGGCTCCTTTCTCCTTACAGCTGCACTGGATGGTTTCTGCCTTGATCAAGGTGCACAGTCAGGTTCAAAACCTTGTCCAGTGCTGAAGGCTTCCCCGCCGACCTTCCAGCCTTATCCACACCTCTCTCCCGAACCTTCACGTCCCATCCCAGCCCCCGCCTCCCGAACACTGTCAGCCAGGCCTTTCACACCTGCAGAGCGTGTGCTTGCCCCTGTGGCTGGCACGCCACCTCCTCCAGGAAGCCATCGCTCTGGCTTCTGGCTCATAGTGGTCACTTTGCTTTCGTGTAGCTCGCGCACAGCGTTGGAGGGGTCTCCTCACTGCTCCTGGTGATAGACTGAGTCCCTGGCAGGTGGAGCTGGTGTCACGGGGGGACTGAACTCCTCACGCCTGGCCCTGGGAGCTGAAGGGCCCGTACCACCAGCTGACCCCGTCTGTCTGTCTCTCCCTTCACCCCGCAGAGGAGTGTGAACATGGGTCGTGGGGCAGCTGGAGCCGCTGCACACACAAGGGGAAGACCTGCGGCTCAGCCTGGGGCCTGAAGTCGCGGGTACGAGAGGCCGGCCGGGATGGGCGGGCGGCACCCAGCTGCAAGGTGCTGTCCGAATGGAAGAAATGTTCCATGCAGACGTCCTGTCCCCCAGGTGAGTGCCAGGCAGGCATCGGGGCCACAGCAAGCAGGGCCCGTGGGTGGCTCTCGGGGGCCTCAGAACTCGGCCCCAAATACGGCACCTGTAAAGTCCCCCATGAGCCACAGCCTGGTGTCATGCCGAGGAGGGTTGTCCTGGCTGGAGCCAGCCCCAGACACACAGACAAGCCTGAGTTCTCGGCTTCCAGTGGAGCAGCCCCCTTCCTGTGACCCCGTACCGCTTACTGCTCTGAGATGAAACCCATGGGCACCATCGCTGCCCTGCACACACAGGGCACCAGGGAGGTGATGTCATGGCGAAGGCGGTGGCCATGGTCAGCAGCACAGTACATGGCCATGTGGCCAACCCGAGATGCCATTTCCAAATGGTGGCCAGTAATGAGTGCAGCCAAACCGATCTCCTGATGGATGCCACAGGGATGACCGCGAGTAGCTGGAGGACAGAAGTGGTCACCAGCACTTGGCCTTCCAAGCTGAGACGGGTGCAGCTCTGAGCAAGCTCCCTGAGGGCAGTGCAGGCCCGAAGAATCTTGGGCAAACTGGGGCCAGCCCCTGGGCACTGACAACCAAGACCACCACTCAGATTTCCCATGTGCCCCTGGGGCTATTAGAAACCTCTGACTTCTTTCGGAGAGAGGCCCCAGGGTATGGTGGGCGGGGAGGTGGATGGGCGGGCGGGAGGGTGGCTGGGTGTCTGGGTGGGTGAACGGATGAGTGCATGGGCAGTTACCAGGCAGGCGTAGGGTGGGGATAGGGACATGAAGCCACCCACCCCCATAGCCCGCCTTCCAAGCAGCCAAGGGCCTCTCAGGCTGCACCCGGCCCAGGCCCTGGCCCAAGATGCTGTCCTCGCCCAAGGGCTGCCCGGCCAGTTGCTGAGCATAGAGTGAGGACCTGGCTTCAGTGCCCACTTAAGGCTTGGCGTGGACGTGGGGAACCCCCAAGGTGGCAGCCTGGCCTAAGGGATGAGCCTGAGTCTGCATAGCTGGGGGAGGAGCGGAGCTGACTCCCAGGACACAGGCACCGCGGACCCTGCGGAGGCGGGCTCAGACCTCCGCGTGCCCACTGCGGCCCGCACAGCGGCTGGCTGAGGCTCTGTGGGCGGGCGTGGGATGCTGTGGAGGACCAAATGGGGGCCTCGCTGCGTACATGCCCTGTAATGTGGAAATGTGGGGCTGTCGTGCTCCCAGCCTTCTTACCGGTAAATAATGGTGACAGAGGACAGCTGGGAGGAGCTCCAAGGTTCGGGGCCAAGCACAGCCAGTCCTGCGACGGGGAGGTGGGGGCGAGGCATGAGCCACAGGAGGGGCTGAGGTGAGGTTGGCCAGGCCGGGAGAGGCCCCAGGCGGCAGAGGAATTTGGGCACGGGGACCACCAGGGCTTGTCTGCTTCCGCGCAGGGCGTGCTGGGACTCTGCACCCCTCCCAGCCACGCGATTCCAGTCACTGGCCCCATCCCTCGGTTCCAGCTTTGCCGCCTGGACAAGAAAGCACAGGAGTGCCCTCCAGAAACCCCAGTTCAGGCTGTGCCCCTGGGCAGGTGGCTCCCCTGGAAGGGCCTCAGTCAGCCGCTCAGAGAAATGGGACTGATCAGGTGTTGGGTTGGGCATTCAGTGCAGGGGCGGGTGTTTGGCCCACACTGGGGTGCTGAGGTTCCATTCCCAGCTCTGGCTTCTGACCCCAACTTCCTGCTAGTGCACACCCTGGGAGGCAGTGCTAATGGCCCAAGTAATTGGTTTCCTGCCACTCACGTGGGAGATCTGGGTCGAATTCTGGCTTTGGCTTTGGCCCAGCCCTGGCCATTGCAGGCAATTGGGGATGAAACAGAGCATGGGATGTCTGTCACATGTGCTCTCTCGCTCTCTTTCTGCCTCTGAAATAAATAAATACTTTATTGAAAAACAATTCACCCCAGCTCCACTGGGGGTGATGATGGGTGGGGAGACACATGGTTGAGGTCCAGGCAGGGCCAAGGGTCAGAGTTAGCCATGGGTTCGAAGCCCAGCCCCCTCCCCAACAGGGCAGTGATGAGGCCAGAGCTCCTCTGTGCCTGTCCAGTGGGGGCCGCAGGGCTGCGCCCACTGCTTAGCCTCATGAGGACCCCTGCACATCGTGGGTCCCGGGAGATTATACAGCCTGGAGACGCCGCCTCTGTGATGTTGGCATGATGAAAAAATCGTCTAAGGAGGTGGTTGTGTGGGTAGGCACCGCCTGCCTGCACCGAAGCTCTGGGGTGCTGGCGCAGGGTGGGCAGGCAGCAGCGGCAAAGCCGGCGCAGGGGCCCCGGGAGCAGGTGCCCAGCCCAGGGGAACCCTAAGAAGTGAAGAGAAAGGCTCAGCTTGGAGCAGCTGACCCTGCAGCCACCCTCGGCCAGCACGGCTGTCCTGCCGGCCTCAGAGGACACAGTCTGCTCTCTCCTTGCAGGGAGAATTCACCGCCCGAAGAATGGCCGCAAAAGGATGCGCCTGCGCCTGGCCCGGAAGTGAGGGCCGGACTAGAAGTCGGGCCGCCGGCCAGAGCCGACAGAGCGGCCAACAGAGGCCCCGAAGCCGCCATGACCGAGCGCTCCACCACCTCCTCTCCCGCCCACCCGTCCCGTCCTGTCTACCCTGTCCATCTTCCTCCTGTGTTCCCCGTATTTCTTCCATCTCTGTTTTCCACTCCCCCCTCCTCTGCCCCTCGCTTTTCCTTCCATCCTGTTCTTCACTGTGTTCTCCGGCCCCACCCCCCACACCCTTTAAGAGAGATTGTGAGGGGCCGGTGCTGTGGCGCAGCGGGTAAAGCCGGCGCCACAGGCATATGGGCTCCGGTTCGAGTCCCAGATGCTCCTCTTCCGATCCAGCTCTCTGCTCTGGCCTGGGAAAGTAGTGGAAGATGGCCCGAGTCCTTGGGCCCCTGCACCCACGAGGGAGACCTCAGGAAGAAGCTCCTGGCTGCTGGCTTCGGATTGGCTCAGCTCCGGCCGTTGCGGCCATCTGGGGAGTGAACCAGTGGATGGAAGATTTCTCTCTGATCTCTACCTCTGTATGTAACTCTGTCTTTCAAATAAATAAAATAAATCATAAAGAAAGAGAGATACTGTGAGTCCGTGACCTCCCTGCAGATCTCTCTCTCTCTCTCTCTCTCTCACTCTCTCTCTGAAGAAAGCAGACCTTTCTCTTACCCTTGCAGGAGAGGGGTTCCCCAAGGCCAGGGCACAGGTGAGCCCCTCACTCTCCCCGGGAGACCCCAGCACCTGCCCGGAGCACCTTGTCTGCCCCCTGCTTCCTAGAACTACAGGACAGGGGCGACCAGGGGCCTCTAGCTGGAGAACCCCCCAGACCTGACTCCTGGAGCTGCCCCCCTGAGTGCACCTGTCTATGCCAGCCGCCCCACCCAACTGTGCCCCAACCCAGGTGCTGACTCAGGTGGGGCTCTCCCCACTGCCGAAACCAGTGGCTCAGCCCCAAAGAGGCTATCAAGGCTTACAGGAACTCTGGGGTGACCCTGCCCCTCTGTCTCCTCCTGGGCTCCTCCTGTCCAATGTACTCATGGGGAAACTGAGGTATAGGAAGGCAGGGACTCGCCTGAGGCCACACCGGGAGCCTGGAGCTCTGCTCCCCTCTGAAGGCTGCCCTGATATGCACCTGCACGGGGAGGAGAGGGTGGCGACCCCCACGCCTCCAGCCTGTTTCCCTGCAGCCTTCCTCCCCCACCTGGGAGGGAGAGCACAGGGAGGAGTCTCCAACTTAGACGCATAAGTGCTTGGTGCTCAGTGCCTGTCACTCAGCCATCACCATGGTAGCACCCCCTTCTTCCTCTGCTCCCGGAAGTCCTAGGAGGGGCCCTCGGGGTTTGCAGGTACAACTCGGAGCCAGAGTGAGAAGAGGCAGGAGTCTGAGCCCCGAGTGGGAGGGTGGTTTGGGCTGAAGGAGCCACAGGCTAGGGGAGGGGCTGGAGGTGCAACACCCCATCCCCACCCCCCAAGAGAATGGCCCCTCAAACCTACTGACACCAGGCAATTGGGGACACCCCAGCACTGCTTCTGGGCAGACCACCGGGAGTCCGTGTGACCCCCAGGCCACCCCCTCATCCTCACACCCACGGCTCCCGGCGACAGCAGAGCCAGCTTCTCTCCCGCCAGCACAGCGCCTCTGACAGGCTCTGCTGACACCAGTTGTGTTTTAAATAAAAAGAAAAGAACAAAGAAACTTGGAAATGCTTTTCTGGCATCATGCGAGTAGTGATGAGTTTGGAGCAGCAGAATCTAGGGCGAGGGCTGACGGGTGCAGGGTCCCTGGAAGAACCGGGCAGGGCTCCAGCTCAGGGGGTGGGCACCTGCCCATCCAGGCCCCTCTCAAGCAGGGGGCTCCACCAGAAGCAGAGAGGACGCCTCCCTGCCCCGAGGCCCCTCCAAAAGTGGCCCCGGAACTGGTCTGAGTGGCCAGGAGCCCACAGGGATGTCCCACGGGACCCTGGAACCCCGGACTCTAGTGAAAGTCGCCCAGCATTGAAAGGCACAGGTTCGAGTCCCAGCCTGCCAGGCAGTGTCTGGGAAACCTGAGCCCAGCTGTTTCCCTGTCCTGGATGGAAGTTTCTCCATCTGATGGATGAAGAAGAGGCGTGGCTGGATGAACTTCACCTCTGAAATCTGGGACCCGCCCAGAGCATCTCCTGGGGAACCTGTTGAAAAACTGACTTGGCCGGCGCCGCAGCTCACTAGGCTAATCCTCCGCCTGCGGCGCCGGCTACCCCGGTTCTAGTCCCGGTCGGGGCGCTGGATTCTGTCCCAGTTGCTCCTCTTCCAGGCCAGCTCTCTGCTGTGGCCCGGGAGTGCAGTGGAGGATGGCCCAAGTCCTGGGTCCTGCACCCGCATGGGAGACCGGGAGGAGCACCTGGCTCCTGGCTTTGGATCAGCACAGTGTGCCGGCCACAGCGAGCAGGCCGCAGCAGCCATTGGGGGGTGAACCAAGGGCAAAAGGAAGACCTTTCTCTCTGTCTCTCTCACTGTCCACTCTGCCTGTCAAAAAAAAAAAAAAAAAAAAAACAAACAAACAAAAAAACTCAGACTCCAGGGCCCCGTCTCAGACCTGCAAGTTGTGGACAGGTTTGGGGGCCGGTGGTGAGGACAGAGTCCCTTGTGCCAGGAGCGGCTGGGGGAAAGGCACTCTGGTGGCCCCTGGCCCCCCAATCTCAGAGTCTAAATCTTGATTCAGACCTCAAGGCTCAACAATCCTTTCAGACGCAGCTACTTGCAAAAGTGCGTGGAAAACAGAATTAGAAGATAGCTTTATTTTGGTGCAAAAAACAAATTTGCAATCCGTGCTTAGTTTTTTCACAGGATGCATTGGCCATGCAGTTTTAAAGGCTCTGTGTGTGTGTGTGTGTGTGTGTGTGTGCTGCTAAGAATCAAATCCCACGGTGCTGGAGGTTCTGATCCCACACTTCTAAAAGGTAACTGTAGAAGTTTCTAGTCCTTCAGTTCCCTGGCCACGTTCTCTCCCTTCTGGGCCTGTCTTCTGTCCCCAGCTGGGGGCTGTGAACAGATTTCTTAAAGTTTTCAAATTAGAAGGCAACATTTCAGGGGCCAACGCTGTGGCGCAGCAGGTTAAAGCCCTGGCCTGCAGTGCCAGCATCCCATATGGGCACTGGTTCGAGTTCTGGCTGCTCCACTTCCAATCCAGCTCTCTGCTATGGAAAGCAGTGGAGGATGGCCCAAGTCTTTGGGCCCTACCACCCACGTGGGAGACCCAGAAGAAGCTCCTGGCTCCTGGCTTCAGATCAGCGCAGCTCTGGCCATTGCAGCCATCTGGGGGAGTGAACCAGCGGATGGAAAACCTCTCTCTGTCCCTACCTCTCCTTGTAACTCTTTCAAGTAAATAAAAATAAATCTTAAAAATAAAAAAAAAAAAGAAGGCAACATTGTCTCAGCGTGCAAGCCCCTCCTCTCATAGGCGCTGCCTCCCTGGCTCCTAAGCCTTCCCAGTCCCAGGCTCTCCCACTTTCACGGGAGGACCAGTGGTCACCACCTATTTGCCTCTTACAGGCAGAGCTCAGAGAGGTTCACAAGCTCAGATACTAGCTGGGGTCACACAGCTTTTGCACAATGAGAGCTAAGCCCAGAGGAAGGCTGCAGTAGCTCTGGCTACTGGATCCCCCAGTGGTGGAATTCCTGCTCCCTCCCATTCCAGCTGGGCCACACCAGGGCCCTCTCTGTAGACCGCCCACCACCACACCCCACTCTGCCCATCCTTGCCTGAACCCAGGCCACTGCCTGGCTTGTTATTACCACATCCAGACCCCAGAGGGCGCTGCTCACTCAGGAACAGGCAGCAGCCAGGCCGGTCCCTTCTGGTTTCTGAAACAGAGAGGCCTGGGACCGCTGAGACCAGGGGAGAGGCTGCCTCCCGCCTCCGGCTGAGTGACAACAGCGGCGACGGGGGCCAGGCCCTTCCTTGCCCAGATCGGAAACCTGCCAGTCACCAGGAAATGGCTTCTCACCCAGCTCTGCAGACATCACATTCTTCATTTTTCCCTTCTGAGAAAATGTCACGGCACCCTGGGTGGTCCCACGGCCTCAGGAAATGTGCCTGCTACTAATAGCAAAAATAGTGGTGGCGATGGCGAGAAAATATGAGAGCTTCGAAAAGTTCGTGTGGAAAATGCAAGGACAAAGCTTGCATGGGTTGCAGAATGTCTCGTTCCGCGTGGCACGACCACGCCCTGCGGTCAGCTGACCGCGGAGCCCCTGCAGGTGCCAGGCGCTGCCCAGAGCCCCGGGGGCGGCATCCTGTTGGCTTCGATGTTCTCCGTGCACACTTTCCCGACTTCCTCCCACCTGCCCCCATCTTCACCTCCTCTGCCTCCCGCCAGCGACCTTGTAGAAGAGACTGAAGTTCCAGTTAAAGCCATCGAGCAAACCAGCAGTCTCGCCCATTCAATAAACACACACCAGGTGTCTGCTGGGCGCCTGGGGCTGTGCAGGGTGCTGGTGGTGAGGCCCCGGCCTGTCCCCCGAGCCTTCGCTCTGTGGACAGGGCAATCCCGGTGGTGTGACAGGCCTTCCCGAGGGGACAGGACCCCTGAGGAGGGACAGCAGGTCTGGCCGCAGCCTCCAGGGGCCAGGGAGCTCCCTGAGACAGATGGGCAAGGCGGCGTCGATGAGCTGAGACAGAGGGGAGGCTGACCCACCTCGCAGCTTCCAAATGGGGCCCTGGGGCCCGCTGGCTCCCCCACCCTGCTCCACGCCTCCTGCCTTTCCACCCGTGAGGTGAGTGGATTCTCATCATGTGGGAAGGGAGGCCACAGCCCCCGCTGCTCCGCCCTGCTAAGGCTCCCTGGAGCTGGGCTCCCCACTCCGTCCCATCTGAAGTCCTGACCTTCAGAAACCACGAGCAGACTACAGTGGCTGCTGGTTTACACCCGCGAGACTGGGGAGGGTTGTTCGGTGCCCACTGGGACGGGCTGACGGGCCAGATGACGCACTTCTCTCAGTGCCTAGCTTCCCTCTTCTAAGAAAGGGGCACAAGAGCTTTCCTCATGGTGTTGCTGCTAAGTTTAAAGAAGTTACTATGTAAGAAAGGTCTGGGACTGGCGCCGTGACTCACTTGGTTAATCCTCCGCCTGCGGCGCCAGCATCCCATATGGGCACCAGGTTCTAGTCCTGGTTGCTCCTCTTCCAGTCCAGCTCTCTGCTGTAGCCCTGGAGGACAGTGGAGGATGGTCCAAGTGCTTGGGCCCCTGCTATCCACATGGAAGGCCTGGATAGAGTCCCAGGCTCCTGGCTTCAGCCTAGCTCAGCCGTAGCCATCCATTTTGTCCATTTGGGGAGTAAACTAGCAGGTGTAAGCTAGCAGACCTCTCCCTCTCTCTGTCTCTCTCTCTGTCTCTCTCTCTGTCTCTCTCTCTCTCTGTAACTCCACCTTTCAAGTAAATAAATAAATCTCTGTTGTAAAATGAAGTTCAGCCCTCTGAAGTGGGTCCCAATTTTTATGGACCAGGAATCCAAAGCTCAGAAGGCAAGTGGTGGAGCAGGAGCCCCAAACCCTGTCCCCCGTGGAGCAGCCACGCCCGGTGCAGGTACCCAC